GTATTTATGTCCAGTGTGTCTCCAATTTTGTGAGTGGGGTATTTTGTTGTTCAGTCTCTAAGTTGTGTCTAACTCTTTGCAATCCCATAGACTGTAGCACACCAGGCTCCCCTGTCCTTCACTGTCTCCTGGAGTTTGCTCAAATTCATGTCCATTGAGTCAGTGATGCCGTCTAATCATCTCATCCTCAGTCGCCCTCTTCTTTTCCTGCCCTCAATCTGTCCCAGCATCCAGGTCTTTTCCAATAAGTCAGCTCTTTGCATCAGGTGGCCAAAGTATTGGAACTTCAACTTCAGCCTCAGTCCTTCCAATGAATATTCAGGATTGATTTCCTTTTGGATTGACTGGTTTAATCTCCTTGCAGTCCAAAGGACTTGCAAGAGTCTTCTCCAGCACCACCATTCAAAAGCAACAATTTTTTGGTGTTCAGCCTTCTTTATGGTCCAACACCTCACACCTCTCTGGAAAAACCATAGCTTTGACTATACAGATGGACCTTTGTGGGCAAAGTAATGTCTCTGCTTTTTAATACACTGTCTAAGTTTGCCATGGCTTTCCTTCCAAGGTGCAAGCATCTTTTAATTTCATGGTTGTAGTCACTGTCCACAGTGATTTTGGAGCCCAAGAAGATAAAATCTATCATTGTCCCCCCACCCCCCTTCTATTTGCCATGAAGTGATGGGACTGGATGCCATGATCTTAGGTTTTGGAATGCTGAGTTTTAAACCAGCTTTTCCTCTCTTCTCTTTCACCCCCATCAAGAAACTCTCTAGTTCCTTTTCACTTTCTGCCATTAGAGTGGTATCATCTGCACATCTGGGGTTGTTGACATTTCTCCTGGCAATCTTGAGGGGGATATTGCAATGAGGAAACCAAGGATCGATGCCCAGAGAAGTGACTTGCCCTAAATCATGCAGCTAATTAGTGGCAGAAGGGACCTGCCACCCAGATCTGCCTGACCACCAGGCTTCTATTTCTTGATGCAGAAGAGAGAAGTTGTGTGTGTGCATTTGTGCACAGGTAGGAGTGGGGTGAACTAGGAAAAGGATACGTCCGATCTTGGTATTCATGGGTCATCCATTCTGAATGCTGTGGAGGAGGGGACCTCTCTCCTGGGGCATATGCAGGCCTCCCCCAACCTCCTAGTCAACCTGGGGTCCCCTATTTCTTCATGGCTCCTGTAGGCACTCAGCATGGTATTTGGTGATTCAGTGAATGAATGTGTGTCATTCACCCTTTCCCTCCCCCTCCTCTTTCTCTCTTTCTGCTTCCCTCTTTCTGGCGGTCTCCCTGCATCCTCGGCCTGCTCCAAGCCAAGCTCAACTTGCTCTCTGGCAAGACTCGACTGGGGAGAGGTGAAGGCTGAGACGCCTTCCAGGAAACGGAGTTACGAAAATGAGCCCCTGGCTGGCTCTAGGGTCACAGACTCAGGAAGAAGAGGGTCTGCTTTGCTGGGGCTCAGAGCCCCAGTCTGGCCAGGACTAGGGGATTATGCAGACGGGGAACATGGCTGGGGCAGGGACCTGCATGGACAGGTGCTATGGATTAAATTATGTCCCCCCAGTTGAAGCCCTGACACCAATGTGACTGTATTTGGAGACAGGACTCTTAGGAGGTAATTGAGGAAATTAACTGAGGCCAAAGGGTGGGCTCCTAATCTGATAGGATTGGTAGTCTTATAAGAAGAGGAAAATCCACTAAGTCTGTATGTGCACACAGCAGGAAGGTGGCTGTCTGCAAGCCAAGAAGAGAGCCCTCACCAGAACCCGACCATGCTGGAACCCTGATCTCACACCTCCAGGCTCCAGAACTGTGTGAGAATAAATGTCTTTTGTTCAAACCACCCAGTCTATGGTATTTTCTTATGATAGTCTGAGCAGACTAACACCGCAGGGAAGCCCTCTCCTCCCACCTCAGTCCTGCTCTTTCTCACGTGGTCCTTTCAAGCTCAGAGAGAACCCAGGCCCAAGCCCAGATCAAGTAGGTGCCTGTCCCAGCCTGTCTCAGGCATGACAGCCTCGTTCCCTTTCCTGGCCTGAACTCCAAGTCTTCACAGCTTCCTCTTCCCAACGCACTCCTGCCCAATCCTCAGATCCTTTTTCCTTTTTCTACAAATCTGGTCAGTTACTCCCTGGCTGAAAAGCCTCTGATGTCTTCCCATTACCTACAGGAGGAAGTCCAAGCAGGTTGCCATGTGCAGCTGTGCATCATGCAACTTGCACAACTGTACAATGGTCCTGAGTTCAAACTCATTCATTCATTCAAGAAGTAGTCATTCCTTCGTATTTTCATCTTAGCACCCAAGGCTCTGAATGATCTGGGTCCTGCCTTTTTCCTTTGCTTCCTCTCTCACCTACTACCTTGGGTACTGTATATTTTAGCCACATTAAACATGGTACTTTTCATACCTATGTGCTTCATGCAAAATTCATCCATCTGCTTGTCTGAGAGTGCACAGTAAATGGAATGGGCACAAGTTTGGAATCTTGTTTCTCTGCCATTTACGGGTACCTGGGTGTATGTGGGCAAGTTAACCTTCTGAGCCTCAGTTTTCTAATCTGTAAGATGGGATTAAACATATATAATATTCTTCACATTGCACTTAGCACATAGAACACCACCCCCAGCAGCAAAAGTTGGGTCTCCCCCCTTCTTTGCTGTTAAGCTACTTATCCTTGAAGGCCTAACTCAACTGTTACCACCTTGGTAACATTGCCCTCATTCTCCCCAGGGGGAAAGTTTATCTTTCCTATTTATACCCTTCCTGCCAGCCTTGTGTGACACTTATAACCTCCATTATAACAATATTATATTTATCTGTTTTCCTGGATCACATGAGCAAAGCATGCAGCCAGGAGCCATTGCTGCATGAATTCAAGGTACTGACTTCTAGGCTGGGGGCCTTTAGCAACCCCCACCCCCACCCCAAGCCTTGCTCTGGTTCTAAGCTCTCAGCCTATTGAATGGCATGAGAGTTAAGGACAGGGGTAGGAGGTAGCAGATAGTGGGGTGGGAGTAGGGTGGTTGAGGATGAAGATAAAAGAGCAGAGCCTCCTGGGGGAGATGAGTATGGGGGAGGTAGCTGGTCAGATGAGATAGGGCTGAGGGTGTTTCAGCCCTCTGGGGAGTTTGCTCAATAGTCGGAGTGGAGTGGGTCAGGGTACTTGGGAATCTGGGTTTTGAGTAAAGGTCAGTGGCACAGGGCGTGGGCTGCCATCCTCCCTTCCCATCAACTCCAGCAGCAGCTGGGCTTTGCTGTGGGTCCAGACATGTGGGACAGAGGGGAGTGGGGATTAAATGGGACAAAAGTAAGGGGAAGGCTTTTCTGTAAAGGGGGTGGGTGGAGAAGGTACTGAAATGGAGCGGGACCCTGGGGCCTTCCCAGGACAGGCCTTCTTCCCTAATCTCTGCTTTAACCCCTCTCTAAAGTACCTAGATAACAGTATTTGATGTACACTTCCTAAGTTTACAGATGTGGGAGCCCCCCACCAGACGGAAGACGTTAACTACTTGATGACTATAAGCACATAGTCCCAGACCTCCTGGAGCCTAAAGACTGATAAAGTTAACCTTTGTGACATCACCCTGTTTCCTCACCATCAGCCAATCAGAGACTTGTGCATGAACTGATTACATACCCTGACCCCCCTGCCTCATCCAGCTTTCAAAAATGCTTTGCCGAGACCCTTCAGGGCACTCTGAGCTTTTCAAGGCATGAGGCACCCATCTCCTTGCACGGCCCTGTAGTAAATCCCTTCTTTGCTGCAAACTTTAATGTTTCAATTTGTTTGGCCTCACTGGGCATCTGGCACAGGAACCTCTGCTGACAGTATGATGAGGAGAAAGGTGAGGATGGAGAGAGACACTGGGAGGGGTCAGTGAGGAGGGATGGTGTATGTGTGTAGAGAGAACAAGGAGAAAGTGATGGGGTGGATGGAACATTGAGAATATGACACTGGGGGAGGCTTAAGACCCAGGACTGCAAGGCCTGGAACCTGCTGCAGAGAGAACGCCTGGATGTCCTCCCATGGGTGTAAAGACCCCTCCCTTCCCAACTCCTGCCTTGCTGGTTGTCCTTCCTCCCTTCTGTTCTTGCTGGGCTGGCGGCTCTGCCCATCAGCAAAAGCCAGGCGCTCTATTAAATCTTCCTGGAGGAAAGATAAGCTACATAAATGCAGTAGGGGTCGTTACCTCCCGTGGACTCAGTCCGTGGCGAGGGAGGGAGCTGAGAGGAGGCCCTTCTGGAACCGCAGCTGGGCAGTGGGAGGGACGGCAGGGGCTCCTCAATGGTGGGTGGTTCAAATGCAGTGGGAGGTCTCTTCACTTCCTACAGGCAGCCTTTGCCACGGGTCACACAGCCTGAGCAGAACCAGCAGCTCGCCCCTTGCCAAGGCTCTGCAGGAAAGGGGTGCGCCTGCAGCCCCTCTTGCACCACTTGTTATGGCCTGCCCATCTTGAATCCCTAGCTGCAGCAGGCCTGGAGAGGGCTGGGGGTGGGGCATTACCCCAGGACTGGAGACAGAACCAGGATGAATGATGAGCCATTGTTCAGGTCGCCAGGGTTGGGCTGGTAGCTTGGGGATCATCTGGATTCAAGGACTCTTCTAGACTTTTCTTGAGCTGTCCATGTTTCACCTGCCTCTCCCCACCCTTTGGGAGTCAGAGTGAGATCCTGGGAGCTGGCAGGGATGTCACATGTCCCCACCTCAGGCCCTGGCATGCACAAGACAGCCCGGGCCTCCTATCTTCCTACCACAGTGGCAGGAAAGGGGTCAGGAAGAAGGAAAACGGGTATGTCAGACACATGGGGGACACAGAAGAGTTTAAGTGAAGGTTTATGAAGTGGAAGCCGGTGGAGGCTGTCCTGCCATGGCCGGGGGTGCGAGAGGGGTGTGGCACATGTGGTTGTCTCTCAGACCAGCTGCCACCAGCCCAGCCAGGTCCCCTTTTTGTTCAGGTTTCCATCTCTGAGAGGACAGCCCTGAATGTCTCAGGACCAATTCTTGTGCAAAGACAGACACTTTATTCTCCATGAGGGGAGCGACAAGGCATCCACAGATATATGGGGGCGGGGGGCTCTCTGTGACCTTGAGAACTTGGGCACTGTGACCTTGAGAACCTTGTCCAGATTCTGTAGTCTCCGGGGTGGGGCAGTGCCTGACCACAGGCTGGGTGGGCTAGGCTCAGCCAGTCTCGCCAGCCCAGGACCGCTTCAGTCTGGTTTGGTTTCCTGGGTTGAAATAATAACCCTTCAGGCCCAACTTTGGCCAAAGATAATGATTCTCTGGCAGGGCCCCCAGCTGGGCGGGGGCAGGCACTGGTCTTTCATAGCGCAAAAGTGGGCTTCTTCCTTGAGCCTCATCTTGCATTCTCATAGTGTGGTTTCCTTAGGTCCCCAGGTCTGCTAGACAAACAGTTCCAACTTCTTGGGGGTCTTGGTGGAGGTGGGGCGGGAAAGACCGCCCACTTCTCCAAGCCTCTTGGGGGTAGCTGCCTGTTTGCATTCTTGACTCTCTGCTGCCCTCATGTGGCTATAAGGCCAGTTGCCGCCCCAGCATTGCACAGGGCAGCGCGCGTGCGCGCGCGCACGTGTGTGTGTGTGTCGCGCGCGCACGTGTGTGTGTGTGTGTGTATGTGTGTGTGTGTAGGACTAGCAAGGCTGAGGCTGAGGCAGAACCAGAGAGCTGGCCCTTGTGTCCATTCTAGTGAGCAGGGGCTCTCACTGTCCCCACCTCCGGGTCTGGGTGACACAAGTAACACTAGGGCAGCTGAGACACACTTGCTTATGAGAAATTGAAAGAAGAGACGGAACTGATGCTCATTTTCAATGGAGGGGACTAGACATCAAGATCTTAAGGACAGCTGGATCATCTTTTTTGACCACGAGGGCAAGTTCCCACGTGCTTACCTGCTGAACAACCATGGCCACGTTGGCCTGTAGAATCCAGGACAGGCGGATCTAGCTCTGTCCTGGGAATAGCAGCTCAAGAAGCTGTCAAGAAAATGGGGAAAGGAACAGATAAGGAGGGAAAGAGAGTCAGTCCATCCCTCCTTTGGTCCTTGTGCGTGCATGCTAAGTTGCTTCAGTCGTGTCCGATTCTTTGTGACCCTATGGACTGTAGCCCACCCGGCTCCTCTGTCCATGGGATGCTCCAGTCAAGGATACTGGAGTGGGTTGCCATGCCTTCCTTCAGGGGGTCTTCCTGATCCAGGAATCGAACCTGCGTCTCCTGCATCTCCTGCACTGTAGGCGGATTCTTTACTGTTGAACCATCGGGGAGGCCCCCTTTGGTCCTCAATCCTTGCCAACCACCTGCTTTCAGGTTGGCCTCTGGCCATGGCCCCTGGGTCCCTACCCAGCACCTGCTGTTTGCCATGAAACGAGGGTCACAGGTCTCTAGCTCAAGCTGCTGTGTTGGTAGTGTCCAGACTGACAGAGTCAGGAGTCTTCAGAGGTTATTTTCATGGGGGGGTGGGTCTCAGATGTGGGTCTGCTTCAGAATCACAGGGAGCTCGTTAAGATACCCACAGATGTCCCAGACGAACAGCTGACCCTGTCTGTTGCCTCCTTTTGTTTTTTTAAAGTATCCTTCTAAAACATTTATTTATTTGTTTACCTTTGGCTGCACTGGGTCTTCACCGCTGTGGACAGGCTTTCTCTAGCTGTGGCGAGCAGGGGTTACTCTCTAGGGCTGCTCACTGTGGTGTCTCTTGTTGCAGAGCACAGGCTCTAAAGCGTGGGCTCAGTAGGTGTGGAGCTTGGGTTTAGTTTCTCCATGGCATGTGAAATCTTCCCCGACCAGGGGTCGAACCCCTGTCCCCTGCATGGGCAGGCAGATTCTTAACCACTGGACCACCAGGGAAGTCCTGCTCCTTTAAGGCTGAAGAGACTGAACCCCGGGAGGGAAGGGGGTCTGGGTGAAGGTTGCTGCTGAAGATCATAGTGAGTTCAAGGGTTTCAACTTGGTACTGGTCCATCAGTGTGGTGAGAGGCTTCTTGCTCAGGGCAGAGGGGGGATCCTGGGCAAGCCCCTTGGGATGTCTGGGAAGGCACACAGGAAGCTCCCTCCCCTACATCCTTTCCGGGTCCTGTAGCAGAGCACCCACCAGACTGATGACCTGCGAGGCCGGCTGGAGCGTGTCATACTCCGCAAAGAGGTGGCACACATTCTCCTGGGACTCGGTCTGGCTCTTGGCCACAAACCCAAAGATCCTGATGGGAGAGGAGAGCCTTGGTGAGGAGAGCCCAGGGAGGCACAAGACTGGGAGCTGGGGAACTCAGCCCTTCCCCAGTCCTTCCCCAGCCCAGCACCTCCTTCCTGCCCTTCCGCAGCCCAGCACCTCGTCATCATGGGAGCTCTCCTAGGGGGAGGACGTGCCTCCTCCGTCAGAATGGGAGATCCCTAAGTTTAGGATCTGGGTTTCTCTCCTTTGGAATGGGGGCCCCTGAGGACATGACCTGTGTATTCCTCAGCAGACTGGAGGGTCCCTCCAGACTAAAATCTGTGCCTGCCCGAGAAGACGGAGCTCCCAGGCTCATGTCCACCCCATTCAGACAGGTGGCTCCCAGAGGGCCGGGGCCTGTGCTGTCCCTCAGCAAACCCATGGGCTCTTAAGGTCAGCCTGGGGTCTCTTTCCTTCCCTGACTCCCTCCCCGTGTTGGGTCCAGGCCCTGACCCAGGGAGACCTCTCATGGTGACTGACTGAGTGGACAGGAAGGCCTTACCGAGAGGGCTTGCAGTATTTCTGCCACCTGTGGAAGAGGAACAAAGACAGTTCTGGGTACCGATTCTCTGCTCCATTTCACAGAACTCCAGCTGAGCACCGCAGGGTGGGAGGAGCTGATAATGGCCAGCTGTGTTTCCTCTATCCCCATCGTGCTCCCCTCCCCTCATTCTGTTGCTCCTCACCCCTTGGGGTTCAGAGGCTCTGTCTGGCACCCTGATCCCAGAGTCAGGGGGCAGTCAAAAGACCCCTGGCTGGCCTTTTCAGTCTGGCCCAGACTTGAACTTACTTCCGTTGCTCAGGATCCATGCCGCAGAATCGGAGGGTGGCGAGGGGGTAATGGCGCCGGAAAAATACCCTGGGAGGAGGCGGGGAGAGAAGGGGAGCTGGTGCAAGCCCGCCCCAGCATCCTGCCCCACCTCCGTCATCTCCAACTTGAGCCTCCTAGTTCCATGACCCCTGACAGCCTGCTGTGACCTTTTAACTGCTGGACCCGGGCATGTGTTTGTATTTCTCTCCTTTCACGAGGGTCAGATATCTGCCTTGTGTCCTATGTGTTGGGGTTTTCTACCAACCCACCCAATCGCCCACTATGTCATTTAATGATTTGAGGGTAGAAATTGCTGGAGAAGGGCATGGCAACCCACTTCAGTATTCTTGTCTGGAGAATCCCACAGACAGAAGAGCCTGGTGGGCTACAGTCCACAGGATCACAAAGAGTTGGACATAACTGAAGCGACTAAGCACACAATTACGGCTGACCATCTCTTATTCCTCCAGCCCAGAGCCAGGATCTTGCTGGACTGAATCCCTGAGCCTGGGAAGGAGCGATCTCATTGGTCAGCCAGTCTGGCCTACAGGAGATGTTCCATCAGTGGATACAGATTTAATCAGTGCCCAACGACTGCTGTTAATTCCAAATCCATCAGTCATGATGAAGCGGCAGGAAGTCATTGCACTTAGGCCCAGAGAAGGCAGAGAACTTGTCTGGAGCCACTCAGCACATCACTGGCCTCACTGGGTCCAGGAGCCTGAATTCTAGTTCCACCACCACTCTACAGACACCTCAGGCATCCCCTCCAGCTCACCCTGCCCAGCCCTGCAGCCCCAGGACGAGGCAAGTCCCTTACTTCCTCTGGACGTCGGTCAGGGTGATGCCCTGCTCGGTGACTTTGAAGTGGACCACGGTGGGCGTGGGGAGGACATCCCTCTCCAAGGTGGCCGAGATGGCCTTCTCCACGGCCAGGGCTCCGCTCAGGGTCTCCACGCTCACAGAGCTCAGATACAGGGCATGGCAACCTGGGGGGGTGGGTGCAGATACTGCGTTGGGGCCCTGCCAGAATCCACTGGGTGAGTGGAGGTCACCCAGGCCCTCCCTGCTGTCCCTCTGCCCAGAGCTGGGGAATAAGGGTGCCATCCTGTTTGGGGAATCTAGCAGGCTTCCTCTTTGAGCCATCAGGCGGGTGGGTAGGGACTGTGTGAGTGACTGAAATTTGGGGCTAACCCCAGAGGACTTTGGGGTCATCTGTTGTTTGCATCACTCTGGTCTCTGGCCCTCCAGCAGGGGGCAAGGAGGAGATGTTGCCCTGTGTGTAGGGGCGTCCTTCTGCCCCATGGCTGGTGCTTCCCCCACCTCTACCCCTCACCCACAACCCCAGAGCCCTGGCTCCTTACTGAGAGAAGAGAGAGGAGACAGGAATGGGGAGGGGGCCTTTGTGCTCAGGACACGGAATAGGAGCTATCACTCACCCAAGTGCTGACCCATGCCAGGCCCTTGGAAGTGATGAAAAGTGACCCTTCCCATAATAAACTGCCCCCAGGACTCGGACCTGACACTCCACGGAGGATGCCCTCTTCAGGACCAGGCCCTTTAGACCCAGAGAGAACCTAGCTCATCCATGTGTACACCCCGTATGTGGGATGGGCTCTAAGCCTCCCCACACCCACCCTCCTCTCCTGCCCCTCTTCCTCCTGGCCTGCTGCCCTGAGCCTCTCATCTCCTGGTTTACAGGCAGAGGGAAGAATGTGGCACCTTGTTAAAGATGGAGAAATAAAGCTGCAATGGGAAACACGTGTGGACCTGCGTGTGCCTGCACAGGGCTGGGAGGTGCCCTGGGGCGGGGCCCAGCCAAGCCTCCCCCCTACCCTGCCCCCCACTCACCCGCAGATTTCTTCAGACAGGAGGCCCGGCCATCTGCAGAGGGGTCCGAGGCCCCGTCTCCACCTCCCAATTCTGAGCCAAAGCAAAGGAACAGGCCCCCAGGGGCGGGGTGCAGTCAGTGGACCCCCGTCCTCGGAACAGACCTCATTCAGCTCTTCGAACGGGTCCCACCTCCGCCCCCACCTTCAGGAAGTGACTTGGCTGAGAAACCAGGTGTGATTCCTGTAATTAGGCAATCGGAGCTGCCCTGGGCTCCCCTAAAGCCTAGCTGGCAGATTTTTTGATCCCTCCTTCCCTGTCCCGCCTCAGGCCCCTAGGCTGCAGTAGCGACCTGGCCTCAGAGGCCCCTGACCTCCTGCTTCTTTCAGGCCCTGCCCCAAACCCAGGCCTTCTTTTGTTTTTTTGCAGAAAGCAGGGAGGCTCCCGCCATCACCACACCTGGGGCTCCCTCGGCCTTGACTCCTCCCCGAGCCCCCTACAGCTCTCCTGCACACCCCGAGATGTGCTGGGCTGTAAGCTCTGGGGAGGGCGCCCTGACTTGGGCTGGAGGTTTGACTCTGTGCCCTTGGGGAAGTTACTTAATGCCTCGAATCTTCCTTTTCTTTCTTTCGTTCTCCGTGAATTTCACCCATTGATCATTTCTTTCTCATAATTCTCTTCCTTGAGTTTCATGAAACAGCTGTCTGTACCTTTGTGCTCTGTTAGCTCTCTGAACACTTTGGAACAAGACAGTAAGGGAGACTTGGGTTCAGATTCGACCCTTCCTTTTCTTATCTGTGAAATGGGGACAGCCAGCAATGACTGCTTCACAGGGTTGGAGTGAGGTGTGAATGGAGGAGGGGAGGCCCAGTAAATGTTGGACCTGGAAGTAAAAACCAAACCTGGCCGAATGGGCAGATTTATGCTTCTTTTCTCCTCTCCGCAACACAGCTGCTATTTCTCAAACATCAACTCAGCACCAGGCATTGTGCCAAAAGTCTTGCCTGAGCTTTTTCCTTTCAGCCCCCACCCAGCCTAGAAGCAGGTGTGATGCTAACTGTGCCCATTTCATAGATGAGGAAACAGAGGCTTAGTGAGGTTGACCTTCTCAGATGCTCACAGCTAGGAGGTAGAGATGTGGATGGACTCCAGAGCATGCACTTTTCACTGGGACACTAACATGATCCCTAAGTAAGGTGAGAGGTGACCCCTGAGAACGAACAGGCGTGGAGCCCCAGCCCACCTTTCTGCGGGATGATGAGTTTGCAGGGCAGGGCCAGGGCCATGATGGAGTGCTGGCACACGAAGGCAGAGAGGCTCCCTATGAGGAAACAGAAGCCCTTCATCAGGAGCCTGCCCCAGGCCACCTATCCTGCCTGGAAGGGGCCTGAGGGCTGGAGAGGCTCAGCTCACCGAAGTAGGGCTCCTCGTCTGCTCCTTTGAGATGCACCCCTTTGGCGGAAGACTCGATGAGGAAGTGGCGAATGAGGTCACTGCTGTCCTCGCCTGGTCAGAGAAAGCATGTGGATGGAAGTGCAACCTGTTTCCTGACCCGCCTCTTCCAGTCCATCCAGAGGTTAACTTGTCCATCCCCCTGCCTCTGGATGGGACTACAGGTAGGTATCCTATCCTCGAGGCCTCCCATGAAGGAGGTGCCGACATCTTTGCTCAAAGCGTTCTGTTTCTAGTAAGACACAACCAAGTGACTTACTATGCACACGTGCAATTATTTTTTCAGGAGACCTTGCTCTTGGTTTCAATAACTCTTGGGCTGGGTTTCCCGCTCCCCCTACCTGCTCCCTCCCAGGTGCTATTATTCTGCATCAGATGGTCCCTGCTGGCGCCAGGCTGGCCTTGGGAGGGGGGACCACGCCCCTAGCCTCTTCTCTGCCAGCCCACAGCTTCCTGCTTTCTTTGGACTCCTTGGAAGGGCTTCCTTGATAACTAACGCTGCCCAGAGGTCACTTTCTTATTTGAACACAGAGGTGTGGTGTAGAGAATGTGGACTTGGGGTTTTTATCCTTTTGTGCTATTACTTGCTGGCTCAGGGGTCATTAACTCCCTCTGGGAGTTGTCAGTTCCCTTATCCATTCCTTGTGTAAGAGCTACAATCCTGGGCCTTCGATGAAGGGCTGTGACCCAGGAACCCTGTAATGCAATGGTCTGTTCCTGTCTCTGTCCTCAATGACGTTTCACTGGTGCCTTGCACAGTGTCTGGGTAGGGTGGATGCTCCCTCCACACATGTTGTGTGCAAGACCACAGGGCCTAAGCTAGCACACACGTTATTGTTATTCAGTCACTCAGTTGTTTCCAGCTCTTTGGGACACCATGGACTGTAGCCCCCTAGGCTCCTCTGTCCATGGAATTTTTCAGGCATGGATACTGGGAGTGGGTTGCCATTTCCTATTCCAGGGGATCTTCCCAACCCAGGGATCAAACACAGGTCTCCATGTCTCCTGCATTGCAGGTGACTTTACCACTGAGCCGCTGGGGAAGCTCATAAAACCCAGTATTTACTTATAAAAATAAATTGAATTCATGGAGGAAAAAATCAAACTTTATAAACTTGATGTAAAATGTTACTAGTTACTTCTTATTTGAGAAAAACAGACCAAACCAAAAAGGTCTCATTTTCACATGTTATTACTACATTACAATCTTTTGTGAGAAAGCTGGGCTGGACAGAGGTGGATACCAGAAGAGAGCAGGCTGGAGGGGGGCTGGGACCCTCCTCTTCTTCCCACCAGGGGCAGAGCAAGGAGTCTGGGGACTTGGGGAGCCTCAATACTGGGAGACCAAGGTCCATCCTCCCAGGATGGGAGGCCCAAGGTCTCCCTGCAAGTGAGCGGCAGAGCTGGGACTGGAATCCACCCAACCCAGGTGCCTCTAAGAGGCCTTGATCAAATACACAGACGGCCTACCTGGTCGGCTCTGGGCAGGTGTGGGGGCCTCCTGCACCTTCAGGGCAAGGCCGAAGGAGCCCCGGTATGAAGAACTGTCCCGCACGATGAAAGCCCCCGGCTCCTCCTTCCTCAGCAGCTCGATGGCTGGAACAATCCTTGGGTCAGAGACAGTCACCATCCCACCGGGACACCCTCCCTGCCTAAGCCCCAGTGGGTCCTCATAGAGCAGATGGTACAGAATCGCCTTTGGTCCCCAGGAAGTCCTTTCTGTTGTCTAACCTGCACCGTTCCTGCTACAGTCATTATTTCCTTGGGTCATGGGGTTCGCAGGACACCCCCTTCCCTGGACCTGCCATTTGCCATGCCGTTCCCTCCTCTACATGAACCCAGAGTCCCATCTACCCAATGCAGGGTGATGGGACCCAGACTTGATTCCTGGGTCACTCAGTCCCTGAATCAGGGCTTCATCTTACCTTGTTCTCGGGAGATGCTTGGCTTAAACCAGTATTTAGATGTGTCCATCACAAACTTCATGGTGGGCTGCATGTCCCTGGCAGGACCTGGAGACAGACAGGGGAGGGGAACCCTGTAGGCCGGATAGAGGGAAACTGAGAGACCTTCCCCTTTCTCTGCCCAGTGGTCCCATTCAACCCATCTTCCCCTATCCCTACTCCAGTGTATCTCTAGCTCCCTAAAGGGGCAAAATCTGTCAGAAGAATCCCGGAGCTTGGTGCCATCTAGGAGTCTACCCTTGTATCCTTGGTAATGGATCACAAACAAATAGATTAAAAACTCAATTCAATGAGAAACAGTTTCTCAAATTGAATACTATGCAGTAGAGACAGAAACGGGATAAATAAAAGATTCTGAGATGCATCATTTGCTTGATTTCATGTTTTCTTCCCCTTTAATAATCCTATGAGTTTCTTGGTGGGGGGAGGGATGTTCAGTTTGCAAAAGAAAATGAAAGAAAAGGAGAAAGGAAAGGAAGACAGCAGATCTGGGCAGAAGAGCATCCAGGAGTCAGGAGATGGAGTTGGGCTCTGATCTGGGACGGCTCTTTCCCTGTTGAAACCCAGAGGGAACTGAGTGAACCAGAAGTCCCGTGAGGGTCTTTAATGCTCCAACAACTCGGAAATGAAACTGAATGTTGTCTTGAGAATATTTTGCGGAATTTGCTAAGATTCCAGGGATAGTGAGTGATTATCTGGGCATCACCAATTCCGGATGGTGATATCACCAGGCCAAATAAATGTGCTCTTTGAGATGTGAAAGTGCCCCCCATTTCCCTGGGACCCTAAAGGTTGGATGGCATCACCGACTCAATGGACATGAGTTTGAGCAAACTCCAGGAGACAGTGAAGGACAAGGAAGCCTGGCTGCAGTTCATGGAGTCACAAAGAGTTGGACTCGACACAGTGATGAACAACAACAACAAAGGCAGAGAGCAGTGGTTCTCGGTTTCAGCATCTTGAAAAGGTGTATTACTGCCAGTTGAGAATAACTCATTATAAAAAATGTACTGATATCTGCAAACGATTTGTCCTAGGAAAATGTTCAAAGCATACTTGTCACC